GCGGTAGGATATGTTTACAATTTGTCTTTCGTAGAGTAATGGCTCTCCACTTTCCCCTGACATCCATCCACATAAATAGGGCAGTGAGGTAAGAAGGGCACACGCACTCCGTCAGACTAACAGTATATCCTTGTGGGGCGCGCTGATACAAGAGGCGCTGGCCCGGTGGGATAGGCTCTGGTAAGTGATATTCCGAACAAGGCAGCCGAATAGCTCATCTCAAGGCAATGCCCTGTAGTTGCGCCTGTGGGGATATTACCTGGTGTCAATTGCCAGGTGTCAGTCGGTCTAATCCAAAACTACTGCCACTGTTACTTCCTGACGAACCACTATGTTTCTGCAAGGCGAGAATTACTACCTTGGAGCTGCGCTACCTTGAGCGCTGTTTGGGGAAGAATGTGGTGTTAGCAGAGCTTCGGGGCATTCCGTTTTGTTATATGGTTTTATTCCTGCTAATCCCAGATATCTCCTTCATTCCACTTTCTTAGGATCATAAATACGGAGAAAACTTGGAGGTGATAACGTACTTAGGGACGGGCTCTGCTTGAACTTGTCAGCCTTGTCAGAGTCCTCCAAAGCAAAGCGAGAGTGGAGGTGAAACGTCAGCAGCGGACATTGCCTTTTCCTAATGCAAAGTTGACAAGCTTTCTAGCAGCCTTTTTAGGGCTGGAACCTCGTGGAAAAATCAGCCGTGGCTCAACGAATCGAACAATCTCGCTGCCCGAGTTACGCCGCGTGCCTGGTGGGCCAGCAGGCATTGGACGGAATGGCCGAGGACGGAAAGTCAATTTGCTTCACTCACAGAGCCGCATACATCCAATTATGTGCTTTGTGAAGCCCATCCATTTACTTCGGCGCTGCGGGCTAGTGTCCCACCGTATTGCACCAGTACACCCGCTGAAAGGTGCCAAAAACCGAAAATAGACTAGCATGTGTCATAATAGAGTTCGGGGAAGAGTCTCTAGTGTCTTCGCCCCTCATCTGTCCTATTCGCTCCACAAATAAAGTTATCGGGCCGATACATAATGTTTCCGTGGTACGAGGGTACAACGAGCGCAAAGCATAGACGCTGGCAGTAACCAGTTGAGCTGGGGAGAAAGTACATGAAGGGACCGTGGTTGGAAAGGCCCAATTATTTCATTCGCTGCCCAAGCATTTCCGGCCTCCCGTTAAATCTGCTCAGGGGGTTTTCAATTTCATTAATGCTAGATCACCTTCATTTGTCCAACTTGAGAAATCGCCGATATGAAGTATGAGCGAATTTGGAATTCTTTATCACATCCATAATTCGACGTGCGAACTCGGTGGGATACTAGTGTTCTAGGGCTGTTGACGATATTGCCGATATACCGATATTGACGATACGATATCGGCAGCTTTTGAATTTGTCGATGCCGATTGCCGGTACGATATCGGCAAGCTTCAAATTTGACGATATCACCACTCACGATATCGTCATATCGTATCAGCATCGGCACATTTTCCCCTTAGAATCATCTAGAGAGCGAACGGGCTTTCGTCGAACAGCAGTTTTATTTAACACTTTATGAATGCAGAACCGGATTATCGTGATGGCATAATTTAACCAAATCTCTTGACCGCTACCACTTATACCCATCGCGAATCAACATCAGCATTCTTAAGGTATCCCCTTTCAAAGAATATCTCCGGATGCCTAGCACGTCCCTCGCTGTACTAAATACTCTCTCAACAGCAACTTCAGAAGCAGGAATCGCTAGATAGTCCCTGGCTGCTGCTGCCATCCGCGGATACTCGCCCTTGTGCATCTTCCACCAATTACAGAGCCAGTTCTGGCCGGTTGTATCTGCGACGCTGATCGGAGGGGTGTCGAACTACTTATCAATATCTGAGAGCGGCGGATCTCGCGCCTGCAACTTCTTCAGCATTCTAGACTCCACATCACTATGCTGCAGGGAAGACGATTTTGATGCAGCGGCATCATGCTCCGGGTTACTAGCCGCGTATACTTGATGTATATTGGTGCGGATCGTTTCCAGAACCATTGTCCCTGCATTGCCATCTTGCAGTTCCCGTAAGACCATTTCACCTTTGACTCGGGGATCCAAGACGAGGGCAGTGTAGTAGGTATCGCATTCATCCATAATGGAATAGTACTTTTCGTATTTCTTCATCCCTTCTTTCACTGCAGCTATGATATCTCGATCCAGTTTTGCGAATTCACCATTGCCTTCCGTCACGTCATCAAGCAGTTCGTGTAGCTCATAGTAAATCGGGACTGCGAGGCTGATTTGTGGATTGCGTTTCGAAATGAACAAAGTAAGCTCATTGAATTTGTGGAGTACTGTGTGAATCTGTTCCAGCCGTGACCAATCTTGGAGAGTGAACGGCGGGAGTTCCTCCTGAAGGTTTAGGAACTTGTTGACTTGTTGCCTTGACTTCAAACCATCATCCACCATGCGAAATGTCGAGTTCCATCGTGTCGTAACATCGTACGCTACGAATTTTTCTGGAAGATTGTTGAGTCTGCAAATCTCCTTCCATTTCTGTCGGCGCTGAGGACTTCGGTTAATCCAAAGAGCGAGGACCCGTAATCTCCCTATTGCTGAGTGATCGGTGATCGAGTTACCAGTCTGTAAACAGTCACAGGCAACTTGCGCTTGTTCCATCGTCCCCGACCCCACGTTACGGAGGATATCTTTCACAATCAGATTGAGGACATGAGCCAGGCAGCGGATGTAGCTGTCAAGACCTCGATAGAGTGGTGCTGGCATGGCGTCTTCCCCCTAGGTCGGTCGGAAAGGGAGAAGTACAACTCCGATGCCATGGCCTCATTGTTACTGGCGTTGTCGCCTGTAATGGAAATGAGCTTGTCCTCGAGACTCAACTCAGTAAGCATATTTTCCACTGCAATTGCCAGATTTTCTCCACTATGAACGCCCTGGAGTTCGGTGAACTCGAGTAATCTCTCGCGGTACTCAAATTCGTCAGTCAGCCAATGACCTATTATCCCTAAAATAGGAAGATGATTCTGGCTTGTCCAGATATACAGTGATAAGGCAATGGTTTTGCAAGTCAAAGTCAGCTCATTCTTCAGGTTGGTGCGCTGTATGGCGAACTCTTGCATGATTCGATCCCGCAAGGTGTGGCGAGAAGTGAATGGAGGCTCAATCCCAGGAATGTCTCGGAACATTTGCTGAAACTCTGGAGACTTGACAGTGGTGAAAGCTTTCATATCAGTCACGATCCGGCGAATGGCATTCCTTTCCAAGACCTCTTGATGGGTGAGACTCTGTTTACCACCCATAAAACTCCGAATGTCTGGTCCCTTCTTCGCTGGCTGTATACTGGAGGTCGGGCAGTAAATGCCATGCTTTGCCAAGTGGGTTTTCATGTTGCTGGTTGTGTTTTGCCTTTGAGAATCTGACGTACGCCAGTCACAGCGTGTTCCCGCTTTTTCATCTACATGCATACAGCGAATCTCTCGGTCGGCCAGCCGCCTCTTGTTGGTCCTCTTGATAACCCATGGACAATCAATGGCTGTAGTCTCGAAGTACCCCCAGATCAACTCTGTAGCCGGCGCTTGGCCGTTTACACCATCGAGAGGATACGTGGCTTGTGATTGAAGTGCCAGCATCCGTTGAGCACTCTTGGGATACTAGCACTTGCGACACAGACTCGGAAGGTAGGAGTTCGCAATCTGGTATGTTGGCGAGGATCACCGCGTCTTTTTGACAGGTTGGGAGAGTATGTGTGGCATTGCTCGGTGGCTCGCTTGATTCGCTTGATTGGTCGGTTTGATCCTCGGGCAAAGACTCTCCATCGCTCTCGTCATTCAGAACTCGGTAGTTGAGGCGTTTCTGCCGGGTACGCATTTTGTGTTGGATACACCGGGCCACTGGTGCAGTGTGAAATGAATACAAATTGCTGATCACTGCTCACTTTTGATACGGACCCAGTAGCTCAGTAGAACCAGGGTTGAAGAGTCATATGTGGAGTTGATTAGTTTCTGGAAGAGCTTCACTGCCAACGAAGAAGAGGTAGGGGCACGCGTCCCAGTCTCTCAGACGCGTCGCGTCTAAATAGAGTTGAACCATAAAATGGGATTGAACCCTTATGACCTCTGGATATTCTGCCATATAGCATAACGGAAGAAGGAAGGCGTAGCCATAAAATAGAACAGGTAATATGATAGTATGTTGGCAGGAAAAAGCCAATGACGTAAATATATATTGAAATGGGGATGGCTCAATGGCAGTCTGGCATAGCAGACAGGTCGATATCATGGATGAAGGATCAAGCAACCAACACTCCCTAGACAGCACTAGTAGACAGCGGAGCGTATACCCTGAGACTTCTTCATAATAAAAGGGCTGGAAACGAAAAGAGTGAATTGTATGATGCTAGCCCAGTCCTCTGCTGGAATCCCAACATGGAGGAATGCTATCTGACTGGCCACGTGACTAATAGTCCGTCCATCTTTCTACTATGTCACCGGTTCCACCACTACATTATGTAGAAAACGCGGCCCACTAGCGTAGAAGGATCTGCTCGAGATAATGAATGTTACTACTGTTTCAGTACTGTCCAAGGAAGGAGAGCTCTATCTGGTGGGGGAAACCGTTGATATACCCAATATCCTAATCCGGCTATGTTTGCTCCCATTACCAGTCTTAAGATTGAACTTTACAATCTGACTATTCATCTTTTAAATCTCATCGTACTCGATCGTACTCGATCGTCTCATTCGTAACAGTACCCCCGTTTGAAAGAAGTCCTAGCACACTAGGTCGAATAATCACAGTATACAATTAGGCAGGTCGATTGTTATCGGGGTGAGGCGGTAACAGCGATAGTTGACCCTTTCTTTCCTGTACCGTTTTGCAGTTCCATAGACCTCCAGAGCCATATAGGTTCTCTCTTATATATATAAAAAAGGTTTACTGTAGTTGGGACATGTCGCAGGCTAGGTGTTGTGCAACTCGCCGCTTTTTGTCCTTGGGTCATTAAATACATCACACTCAACTGTCCACCTCCTTCTTTCCATTCGGTGTCTTTCCCCCAGAGTTAACTCCGGCAACGGTTGTAAGGCGTGTGCTCGGACCCTCGGGCTCGGCTTTCCATGCATTGAATGGAAACCATGTTCTGCAGCAATCGTAACCCCCTTTCCACGGGAAGAACGGATACTTTCTTCCTCGCCGCTAGAAATCGGCTCTGAAGTCACATGCAAGTGTGGTATGGAAACCAGAGTGCCCAGGACAGCGAACTCCAGCTTCAATTCAATACTGTACACAAACGATTCCACGAAAGTTTGCGCGATGTAGAAGTCCAAATACTGGAGCACCACCAATGTGATATCCATCAGGATAAAAATGGCATTGACAGTGAGCAGTTCGAAGAAGATCTTAGTCCGCCGCTTGTTCTTGGGGTAAATACGGATAATCTTGATGGCCTCAATAATATAGACAGAGCTTACGGCGCACCTCTGCATGCTGAAGCACGTCAACTGCAGCCGGTCGATGATCTTAAATGCGGTGGTCCACGATGTGGCTCTGGTATAGAGACTACGATCCGATGCTAATCTATCATACAATGAGATTGTGAATGTTTTCCATCGATAGCGTGATCTACGATTATATATACTGGTAAGAAAGAAAGCCAACGTGGCCGGGATAATTATACATGCAAACGATCTGGTCGACCACGAGTACTATCTGATCATCAGCATGACCTCATTTACGGTCATATCAAACAACACCCAAGCTGCCCATATTATTATGAATTACTCGATTTTGTTGATTATAAGATCTGCGAATCTACCATACGCGCACTATCAAAAGACCTTAGTCTTCGAAAGTGGCGTAAGATCAAAAAACCTCAGTTAACCGGCAACGATGCGATAAATCGTCTCGCGTGGGCACACCGATATCAACACTTTACCCCTGAAGATCGGTCACGGGTTTATTTCTCTGATAAAACATTAATTGAGCGTGGATCTGGTGCAAGCGCTGAATGGACCTTCGTACGACCAGTTCATCCAGCTCACGAGGGCGAATTTCTAGAAAACCACGTGGAAAGCAAATCAGGCAGATATTTTGGGCATGTTTAAATGGTTATACTCGACGAACTGGGCTAATTCCAATGTATAGAGATCACCACGCAGTGGAGTTAATCCGGTAGTGGTCCGATGGACTTACTCAACTTATCCACCAACAATTATATCGAATCGATGGGATGCGATATTCATGCGCGATAATCCATGTACGCATACTGCGCATATCGTACGCGATTTACTATGCGATTTAGGCGTTGATGTTATGCAATGGCCAGCACGTTCGCCTCATTTATATCCTATTGAAAATCTATGTGGATTATCAAAGCGCAAACTGCTAGATCTATTCCCTAAGATACATACCGTGCCAAATAACGATGAAACGCGTGCGTATCTTATTGGGGCTGCACAGATACGTGGGCGCAGATAGATCCTGAGATACTGCGTACACTGCGTGTGACCATGTGTAATCGGGGCAACGCTATCATCGAATCAGGGGGTGGATACTACTTCCTAGAGTATGCGAGTATATCAGTCTGATTAATTTAATTAAAATTTTAGCGATTATTATTATCTTGCTGGCAGAATATTATATAATAAAGTGGAGCTGGTCAAATACTTCCTGAGGGGGACTGTAAGAAAGAAGGGTAAGTTATGCAGGAACACGATAAGGCCTCATGCTAGAGAGTAGAGACATTGTCACATAAATATGGGGCACGCTACTGCTTGACTAAAAATGTACCATGGGCAACATCCTTGGTCTATACGGTCATTTATTGTTCCGACAGATATCGACGGCACGGAGTCTGGACCGTCTTTACGGTTAACTTATAAGCAGCAATCGACACCAGACTTGTAGTCTAATAAACAACCCTTATTAAGTTAACAGGTACAGATATAACTAAGCTGAGGTTGGTCTTTGATATAAAATTTAAACGATTTGGCCTTGGATCGAATAAGCTGTAGGGCAGTATCAATATACATGGGTTTTCGCCAGCTACTTCCATGCACATAATATATATTCTTTACCCCTAAGTTTACTCAGTAAGAACACAACCTTATTTATAGTCGGTTTCGCTTCAAATTTAAATTATCTCATAGATCCCCTCGAGATACACGTAACACATCAATATAGAGCCAAAATATCAATAGTTGCATATTTTATTCAATGTAGAGTAAATGGATCGTCTAATCGGGTTAGCGGAGATTCCACAAGAACGCGTCTCCGCGCGTACGTGCTTTCAATCAGAACAACATTCGAATCGAGGTAAAAAAAGCTATCGAAAACCACCACTTCTGGGTGCTCCAGAGTAAGCAATCAAGCAAGACACCAGCTTGATATACTAATGTAACGTTAGATGACTTCTCCACTTGCTACAACATTCGATTGTCCTAATACTAGGAAGAATAAACGCGATTATGCGGCGCTTAATAAATACGGCCTCCTTGCAGAGGATGTATCACCCCCGCCCCCTCGAAAGAAGAGAGCGGTCCAGCCCGCCTCTAAGTCACCGACTCCTCCGATTTCAACGTCCCCTACGGCTCCCAGCGATGTTTCTAGAAGTTTTTCGAACCTTGATACGGACATATGCCCATCCCAATCAATCTCAGATCGAATACGAGGTTGAGAGGGTTAAAATCAAGCAGAAAGATGAGAGTGGGTCGAAAGAGCGGAGCTGGGTATGGAAACACTACCGTACAACACCTGAATCTGGTACCTGGAGACTAGGAAATAAGGAGCGGCTCGAGCTTAAACACCAGTGTATTGTATCGCCATCTAGCTGTCGATTCTTTCGATTTGCATCTAAACTGCGATCTTCAACCACGGCGTTGAAACAGCACCTGCAGCGAACACACAAGCTCTTTCAGGACGGTCATCCAGAGTGCCAAGGACCATTAAGCTCATGGATTTCTAAGGAAAAGAAGCTCCCATTCGAAGAAGCTGCCCTGAATTGGATTGTATCGACCTGCCAGCCGTTTACATGCGTCGAACAACCTTCATTTAAGGCCATGCTGAGGTCTGCAGGCTTTCAGGACTCCGTACTAAGTGCGGATACTGTTTCACGCCGATTATATCTTCGGCTTGATGCTCTTGACAATGAGCTTCTAATCTTGATGTCTTCAGCTTCGTCAATCGCGCTATCTCTTGAAGGTTGGACAAGTCAGAACTCGTTGCCATCACTGGATGACCTCTACTTTTCAGCAATATCGAGCTTGTATTGAGTTTGTTGAAATCGAAGGCAACCACTCTGGAGAGAACCTTGCTGATATCGTCGCGACGGTTCTTGAGAGGTTTCATATATCTGATAAAGTTATGACGATTACAGCCGACAACGCATCTAATAATGACACCCTACACCGATGCCTTTACCGAAGGCTGTCTCAGCGGTATGATAAGTACCTGGCCGAGACCATCATCCGAGAAGGGAGGATGAAGTTTACCCAGAACTCCCAAATCCGCTGCTTTGCTCATATCTTGAATTTGGTTATGAAAAATATATTGAGGTCTCTACGCGCCAGCTCGCATAAGGAAGCCTGTGATCTTCTTGATGATGTTGCTAAGAGGAGCTGGAAGATGATCAATGCTCCTACTTCACCTATTGCAAAGCTTCGACTACTTGTCCTTTGGATTGCGCGATCTCCTCAGCGAATACAGAGGTGGGATAATCGACCTGGATGTACAAAAGCTATCAACTACGATGTTGATACTCGATGGAACTCTACCTTTGTTATGATTGAGAGAGCTGAAGAGTGCCGCCGGCAGCTCGAAGATACAGTCAACGATGAACCAGACATTGAAGCCTTACGTCTCACACCGAACGACTGGAGACAGCTCTCAGATATCAAGAAAATCCTGGCTCCCTTCAACGAATATACTGAGTACGTCTCCCGAGATAGCCCTTCAATTCATATGGCGGCGCGTATGTTTGAAGAGCTCCATTCTATACTCTTCGCTATCAAGGAACGACGAGGCGAGTGGCAGAAGGTCTCGCCAGCAATAACTATTCTTATTTCCGATGGAATCTCACTCCTGGAGCAGTACCACGACTGCGCCAAAGACAACGATATATAACGTATTTCCCAAGCGAGCTGGCCACCCAAACGAGCTGGCCACCCCAAAACACCATAGTAAATGCGATAAATTACAACATAGTATCGCAACAACGGTAGGCTATAGGGACTTTCCCTTGAAATCTAACGCTCTTTAGGTGGTATTTAGTCTCTAACGGGAGTTTAAAGAATTTCTATAATTTAATAATTGAGATATAATCAAATATTTATATTTTTGGCTCCTAGCCAACGTAATTTTTGATACCGTAACAATGTAGCTGTCAGATTTCGTTAAAATTAATATATAGTGCTTATAAGCCTTATCAACATATATCGGCAAATAATAAAATAAAATAAAAACGTGGTTGTTGAGATATCAGTGTAGAATATCTCGTATTTACTATGGTGTTTTGAGGTGGCCAGCTCGTTTGGGTGGCCAGCTCGCTTGGGAAATACGTTAACATTCAGCGCTCAGACTTACCTCAGTTACCTCAGCCGCCCCCAAAAAGGCGGTGAATTTGGCCATCCACCGCCTGCTGTTTCCAGCGATGCTGACACACCTTTTTTGGGGAACGTCTGAGCTGGGAATTTGGTGGTACCATACAAGTTTCCGGGGTTTTTGCCCGTGTTTATATGGCGAAGTTTCCAGGCGCGTCTTTCAATATTTCCAAGTTTCTCGCGCACCCACGCGAATATTAAGAATCGGGCGACGATGTCTTCTGCATCTTTCTGAGCTGAACCCATTGACACCAAAATTGTATGTATAACTGGAAAGGTGGGTGAGAAATATGTCCTTAAAATACCCGAAGGAACCCTTTCTTAAGCTGTCAAAGCCATTATATGCCCCAAGTATTCCGCCAAAACCTCCATGAAGCATATATTGACATATTTTAATGTATAGTGGCTACATCTGATCCACAATATTAACTCTATCGCGTGAGAATTGACTCCAAACCCGCCTCACGATGCCAGATCGACGCCCATCACGACGGAAGCCTCCTCGGAAATATAACGCGAAACTGAACGACCCCGGAAATGGACAGACACAGTTGGATAACTGGTTGGCCTCTGAGAATAATCGACCTTCTTCAAAGGCTGGAGAGCCTATTGAATTGGGAGTGGAGTACGAGAATGAGGGCGCAACTGTCTTGCTGGAGAAACAACAAGTTGAGAAGAATTCAGTTCTTCAAGCGCAGAAACTGATTCGCGATGCGTCTGAGAAGCGTAAGGATGAACAGGACCAAGCCATCAGACAAGCAATTCGAGAGCTGTATCCCTATTATCCACGTGCGGGTCAGTTGCAAGCATTGAGACAATTGATCTACCTGAGAAAGGACCTTATCCTGATTGCGAAGACGTCATTTGGGAAGAGTATGATATTGCAAGCA